TTATTATAATAAAAAAAATTTATAAAAACTTTAGCCGAAATCGGCTATATTTAAATATTATATAAATTTTACGCATTTATTAATAAAAAATATTAATTTTTTTTTACGTTAATAACATAATTATCGTATATAAAAATAAAAATAAAAAGGCTATTAATTATTTAATATAATATTTTATAAAAAAATATAAAATTAATAATAATAAGCTAATATAATAATTTTTCGGAATAAAAATAATTAAAAATCGTATATTTAAAATAATTTAGCTATTTTAAAAGGCTTATTTTAAAAAAATCGCTAAATTTATAAATAAATAAAAGATTTATACGACGCTAATAGGTTACGAAAAATTTATATTTTAATTAATTATAGCGCTTTTATACGAAATATAGAAATATTAAAAAAAATCGGATTATTGCTATTTGCGGTTATATTTACGAGGCTAAATATCGTATTCGTAATAGCTAAATTAGCTTAATTCCTTAATAATTTAAGCTAAATATATTAAAAAGCTATTAATCGAGCTTTAATTTATTTAATTAATATTAAAAAATTTTCGCTTAAAATCGGAAGATTTTTTAATTTAATAATTATTAATAACGTATTATTTGCCGATAATAATATTAATCGCAAAAATATTTAAATATTCGCTATAAAGCTATTTAAAAAATTAATTAATTAGCGATTAAATAAATAAAATATAATTATTATTTTTATTATAAAAACTAAATTATTTGCTTTAGCATAAGCTGTTAAAAAGATATTATTCGTTAACCGATTATTAAAAGAATTATCGATATAATTAGATAATAATATTATTATTATTAAATATAATAATAAATAAATTATTAATTTAATTAACGCCGAAATCGCGTTATTAAAAATAAAACTCCGTTATATAAATATTTATAATTATTAGCTACGGTAAAAAGCTTAAAAAAAATTAAAATTATTTATAAATTTTTAAATAAAATAATAATAAATAAATTAACGAAAAGCTTGCTAATAGGAAAATAGTAAAATTTTTTATAATAAATAAAATTTAAAGTTATTTATCGTAATTAAAACGAATAACCCTAAAAAAATTATATTTTACTAATTAGCAATTTTAATTTAAATATAACTAAATTTACGATAAATCGTAAATTTAAAGGGGTATATTAAATAATAAATTATAATTCTTATATATTAGCGTATATTTAAGCATACGGATTAATATTATAGTATTTAAATAAATATACGGGACCTCCCGGGAATTAGCCGGGGCCACCTAAATAAGCGTATACCTTATTAAAACTAAAAAGCGCAGAATATAAATTAATATATTATATAATTAACACCAATATCAGACTAGTTTAAACTCCAATAGGAAAGCACCACCTTGATTAACACTTATCAAGACGTACCTGCCTGGAACCCCACATTTCCACCCAGATACGGGGTACGCGCTGATAAAGAGACTCAGTGGAACTTGGCTGGGGGTGTGGTATTCGGCCACTGTGGAGCGGCGGGGGTTGCGGTGGTCCGGAGCTTGAACCCCGCTTGCTTTAGTTACTATAGCACTGGGATTAGCTGCAGAATCTAGTATCTACGGTAGTCTTCCGTCGGACTTGGATCTGCGATAGCACTGCCCGGCCAACATCTACCATTTACCGATCATCATACACGGGGTCGCGGTTGATAGCCTGTTCTGGTTGTTGCATTTTGATCCCAGCATAAGTAGCAATGTTTCTAAGAGGTTAGCTTGGATTGAACTGACCGCCCATCACCAAGCGGTCGCCTTTTTCCATCCATCATGCCTTTTGTCGAGAGCCCACCTAGTCCCAAATTGAAGATCGCCATAGATCGTGGCGGCACCTTCACAGATTGTCTCGGTATTGTGCCTGGGAGGCCAGACATTCTCATCAAACTTCTAAGTCACGACCCTGCAAACTACGATGACGCTCCTACCGAGGGCATCCGGAGGATCCTGGAGATTGCGACTGGCGCTTCCCTGCCGCGGGGCCAAAAGATTGACACCAGCGGCATCGAGTCCATCAAGATGGGAACCACGGTAGCCACCAATGCGCTACTCGAACGCGCATCGACTCCATGTGCACTCGTGGTTACAAAAGGTTTCAGAGACTTGTTGAGAATTGGAGATCAAACGCGACCAAAATTGTTCGATCTCAATATCCGCAGGCCGGAAACGCTATTCAAAGAGGTCATTGAGATTGATGAGCGGGTCACTCTGCACGACTCTACTGAAGACAGCTCGACACTCCGGGACCCACACAGAGCCGACATTGAACTCAAAACAGGCATAGGAGGAGAGGCGGTCAAGATACTCGAGCCTCTTGGTGAGCGTTACTGATGAAATAATGGAACTGTGATACTGATCGTGAGATAGACGTGGAAGGTGCTCGGACAAGCCTCCAATCCCTTTTTGACAAGGGTGTCAGGTCGCTAGCCGTGACCCTGTTGCATTCTTATACGTTCCCTGATCATGAGCTGGAGATTGCGCGGCTGGCCGCCGAGATCGGGTTCCCCCAGATATCCCTCTCATCGCAAATCTTCCCAATGATCAAGGCCATCTCCAGAGGCTACTCCGCGACAGCTGATGCATACCTCACGCCGTTGACAAAGGCTTACGTCGATGGCTTTCGCCAAGGCTTTGTTGGAAATCTGGAAGATGACACCGGGGCGAGGTGTGAGTTCATGCAGAGCGATGGAGGGCTCGTGAGCTGGCAGAACTTTAGTGGGTTGAAGGCCATTCTATCCGGCCCAGCAGGTGGTGTAGTAGGGATGAGTCGGACATGCTACGATCCAGAGCGCAAAGTACCAGTCATCGGTTTCGATATGGGTGGAACTTCGACAGATGTTTCGAGGTATGCCGGCACCTTGGAGCATACATTCGAGTCCATCACTGCTGGAATCACCATCCAGTCGCCTCAGCTTGAAGTAGATACCGTCGCAGCAGGTACGTTTCTACTGCCATCCACATTCCTCGTGCCTATAAATAACTCTTGACAGGCGGTGGAAGTATTCTGTCCTATAAAAACGGGCTTTTCTTGGCAGGTCCTGAATCAGCCAGCGCCCACCCAGGTCCCGTGGCATACAGAAAAGGGGGTCCTCTGACGGTGACGGACGCAAACTTGGTTCTTGGGCGACTGCAGGCCAAGTACTTCCCCAAGATCTTCGGCAAGAACGAGAATGAACCACTCGATTCTGATGGATCTAGGGCCGCCTTTGCAGAGCTGCTAGAAAAGGTCAATGCAGATATTGCAGAGGGCGGTGGTAAGCCAAAGACAATTGAAGATCTCGCTCTGGGATTCCTTGATGTCGCAAACGAGACCATGTGTAGACCAATCCGGTCACTTACTGAGGCCAAGGGTTATCGGGCCTCGGACCATGAGTTGGCTGTCTTCGGCGGTGCCGGAGGTCAACACGCATGTGTAAGTAGCCTACAGTCATTTACTTCGGCTTTGAGATCTGACATTTACAGGCCATCGCCGATAACCTGGGCATTGATCGCATTCTCATCCATCGGTACTCCTCAATCCTCTCTGCTTACGGCATGGCATTAGCAGATCTTGTGCACGATGTTCAGGAGCCCTGTTCGGCGGATCTCGGCACAGGCCTCGAGAACCTCCAAGATCGCCTGGCAAGTTTGGAAAAGGCGGCTTCCGAAAAGTTGATCGATGATGGAGCGCCAAAAGGCTCCTTAAGTTTTGAGCGATTCTTGAATCTCCGGTACGCCGGATCTGACACGACTTTCATGATCCCCCAGCCCGCATCCGGTGCGTCATGGGCCGAAGCTTTTGTAGCAGAACACAAGAGGCAATTTTCATTCATCATGCCTGGACGGGAGATCCTCGCGGAGAACGTGCGAGTCAGGGCTACGGTCCGCAGTTCGGCCATTGAACCCGAACTTGCTTTGGATACACAGATTGCCACCAGTTCGCCTGTGCTTGTCTCGAACGACAAGGCATCTGATCAAGTTAATGTGTACTTTAGCTCTGGATGGTCCAGTGCGCCCCTTTATTTCCTCAAGTCGTTGACGCAGGGCGACATGGTTCAGGGTCCTGTGATAATCTTGGACGAGACACAGACAATCATTGTGGCGCCCACCGCCAAGGCCATCATTCTTGATCGGCACGTTGTGATTGAACTTGTTCGCAGATCCTCGGCGGAGGCCTCGGAAGAAATAACGGAAGAGCAGAAGACAGTCGATCCGGTTCAACTCACAGTCATGGCCCACAGATTTATGAGCATTGCTGAGCAAATGGGCCACGCCCTGCAAAAGACTAGCGTCTCTGTCAATATCAAGGAACGCCTTGATTTCAGCTGTGCTCTATTTGGTCCCGACGGACGACTGGTCGCAAATGCACCGTGAGTCTCTATTGAATCCCCACTTTGTAAGTTTCTCAGCTGATGTAGTCCTCGCAGTCACGTACCTGTCCATTTAGGAAGTATGGAACAGGCCGTCATGTATCAGCATAAGCATTACGAGGGACAATTGCGGCCTGGCGACGTGATCGTAGCCAACCACCCTATATCCGGCGGGACGCATTTGCCAGACATTACTTGCATCACTCCTGTATTCGATGAATCTGGAAAAGAAATCATCTTCTACACTGCCTCAAGAGGTCATCATCAAGAAATCGGCGGTATACTTCCGGGTTCCATGCCAGCTGGCAGTGTCGAGCTTTTTGAAGAGGGCGCCACTATTGTGTCAGAGTTCTTGGTGCGCGACGGCAAATTTGATGAAGAAGGCGTTACTAAATGGTTGCTACACGACCCAGCCCAGTTCCCAGGATGCTCAGGAACGCGCAAGCTGTCGGATAATATCAATGACTTGAAGGCTCAAGTTTCTGCAAACGCAAAAGGCGCGGCGCTCCTTTCTGAGCTCATTGCCGAACGTGGCCTGGCAGTCGTCCACTTCAACATGCATGCCATCACCGCCAATGCCGAGGCTTGCGTCAAAGAGTTCTTGGTGCGAACTTATGCAGAGACCGGAGGCGTGCCATTGACGGCAATTGACTACATGGATGACGGTACTCCCATCCAGCTGACCATCACCATTGATCCCAATACAGCTACTGCCCACTTTGACTGGACGGGTACCGGCGAGGAGGGCTACCACTCGTTCAATGCGCCGCAGGCCATTGCCCGCAGCGCCACTCTTTACGTGCTGAGATGTCTGATCAATCAAGACATTCCACTCAACGAGGGTTGTCTGAGACCCTTGAAGTTCACCATCCCAGAGGGCAGTATCCTCAACCCATCACCGACGGCAGCTGTGTGCGCCGGGAATCCCATCACGTCACAGCGCGTAACCGACGTCGTCATCAAAGCCTTTGCCGCCTGTGCTGCCAGCCAGGGTGACTGCAATGTCTTTTCCTTTGGCATCGACGGCGACCGTGATCCAGCTACCGGTGATATGATTCCCGGTTCCGGCTTCGGCTTCGGTGAAACCATCTGTGGTGGCTCTGGAGCCGGTCCGGGGTGGCATGGTACCAGTGGCGTGCACATTCACATGACCAATACCCGGATCACGGACCCGGAGATCCTCGAGAAGAGATACCCAGTCGTCCTTCGCGAGTTCGGCATTCGCGAGGGCACCGGTGGCCGGGGCAAGTGGAATGGTGGTAATGGTATAAGGCGGATCTACGAGTTCCGCAGGGACGCCGGCGCCAGTGTCGTGAGTGAGAGGAGAGTTACTCGTCCGTATGGCATGTTTGGTGGAGAGGACGGCAAGTCGGGTGTCAACTATCTCGTCAAGAAGGGCGAAGGGGGTAGGTGGTGCCGCCTCGGTGGTCGCAAAGACTTCAAGGTTGAAAAGGGAGATTGGTTCGTCATTGATACGCCAGGTGGAGGAGCTTGGGGATCGGTCGAGGATGGCGAGACTGAAGTAGAAACTGCAAAGGTCAATGGCGCAGAGAGAAGATTTGTGAGCCAGTTCCAGTTAGCTCAGGAGGCAAGCAACTAGCTTTTGCGGTGGTGGTAGTTTTAGTATCGATATCGGCGGATGTCCAGTTGATCTGTAAGGTGATAAAATCAATGCCATTCTGTACTTACTCCTCCAAACCTGTCAAGTTCCAGACTTGTCTTTGCAACAACTGCGCGCGTTCCTACATGGCGTCTATAGTCTGGTTAGCACTAGTAATGTTTATGTTACCGCAGTAATGGCCAGTATAGCAGTATGTCAAAAGCAAGGAGTTGAAGCGACGCATTTCAATATACCAAGGATATCCTGGCTGGAAAGAATCTTCAATTCTTTATTATAGCTGACTCCTGACTGGTTTCCAAATGACTTCTAACTAGCTCCTGACTGGCTCCTGACTGGCTCTAAATCATACAAATGGCATATGATATCCAAATATCCCGCCGTCACTCGTCCTCCTCTCTGGCTCCTTCAAGTCTGGCTCTCTCTTCATTCCTGTTGTCGCGACCCCGCCTTGGTTGCTCGGAGGTCGCTTATGTAAACTGGCGCGCTTCTGGCTAGTTCTGACCCAGTCAAAAATGGCTTATCTGGCCCCGAGTAGTACGGATGGCTCCTGAGAATGGCGGGAGGCTGATCCCTCCGCTGCTGGCGCACACCTGATTGCTGCCTCGCTTTTTCTCTTGCTTCACAGTCTGACACAACCTGCTGCCACCCTTGGGTTACCTGGTCAAATATGGCACGATGCACAAACAAGGCAAAATCTGGCACCGCTGGCGTTTGATCGCACTTTCTCCGCCATGCCACAAAAATTTGACATGCTCTGACAAAATGCCACTCTGCCTCCAGGGCCAATGGCGCTGCCTCTGAGCCACGACGCAGGTAGGTGAAGGCCGAAAATGTGATCGTGCTGCTGTCTCCTTGGATTGACACATTAAGCTCCTTTTGTAGCTTCTGTTGAAATGGCAATATGTATGTCTCATATGTCACCTCATCTGGCATAGCGAGAGTCTGGCTCATCTCACCCCCGGAAACCGATTTGAACTGTTCTGGTACTGAGGAAGGTGTGGCCTAACGGATACCACGAGTTAATTACAAGGACCAGAAAATGTGAAGAAATGAGAAGTACTTACACTCTGGCTCATCAAAGCAGGCGGGATATTCAGCCAGTGTAAACGCTTGTACTCATATTAGTTGATACGAACATGGGGATCAGACAAGGACTCAATGTATTGATTTACCAAATCTTCACCTGACAAGATGTCCATGATTACCCCATGCCCAAGAGGTTTCTGTCTCAGCTGGCGCAAAGCTGACTCAATGTTGCATCTGTCGCCTTGCTCACGTGCCTGGTAGTGCTCTTCTCTGTCAAATGGCGCATTGGAAATGCCAAAGACCCGTTTGGCACTAGCTGACACAACTTTGTACGTGACCTGATAGTTTGAGAATATGAGCATACGTCTTGAGAACGGTGATGGAATGAATGTCAAATATTGATTTGGAGTACTTACCCAGGACTTGTTGATGTCCTTGTTGGGACCTGACTCAAGCACGTTCAGCAACTCAGTTGCTATCGACTGCATGGCTCTTGACAGCTCCTCGTCGGCGCTGTCTCTGTTGGCTTGGGCTGACACGGTGCCGTAAAGGCTCCATGCCTGCGCAGCAAGGAAAGACGACGGTGACATGATGTCACCTGTCTCCGAAAGTTGTTTTTTGATTATTGAAGTCGTACTACTAATAGTAATAGTAGTAGCAGCAGCGGCAACAGTGGTGACATAAAAAACTTTTTTATGTCGGGTGAGGAAAAAGGAGGAAAAAAAAAAGAAAGGTTCGAGGGGGCGAGAAACTGAAAAGGCAGCTTTAAATTGTGGGCAAGGCTGCCGCCGGCCAATCTGGCAGAAAAAACAGTGCAGGCAACCAGAGGCTCAGATTGCCGTTTGTCAATAGTTTCAAAGTACTTGCCTTGAGAACATATTCATTTCACCGCCCAGGGCCAGGTCAAGTGGACCCACAGCCGTAGCTCTTGCCATTGATATGTTGTCAATAGAATAAACAATCAGAGCGTGGTCAGTCCAGTTCCTAAGCAGATTCGTGCCTGAACCCAAGGTCAAGTCTTTCTGAGTTGAATTTATTAGCATTGACACTCTACACCATGAAGAGATGTGCGTCTACCCACTGAATAAGCATAATATTGAGATGCTTACCTAGTTAGCATCTCAGTGTGATATGTCGCTGGAACACGTCCAAGACTGCGAGGCGTGGGTCGGCCAAATTGGATCCAGTAATGAAGAGCTCTGGCCAGAGACTTCAATCATTATTGTTTGACCTTCTCTTGGGATAAGTTGTGATACAAAGCGTGATCGACATTGTCCCTTAGTATTCATCTGCCCAAGTTTATATCAATCTTTGTTAACCATAGTATACAACAGTCTGAAGAATCTCTAATGGATAAGATATGGTAGGTCACTTCTAGATCGTACCTAGTAGATGACATATTACCTACCTCAGGCTATCAGCTACCCGGATGGTTATGCCAGTTGATGTGCACTCAAATCCCATTCGTAACGCTCCTGCCCAAATTTCCACATCAACACTCATCTAAATTCAACAGCGCAATTTACCCACCATTTCGAAGAGTTGGGGAAAATAGAATGCCTGCACTGACAAAGCCTGACGACAAACGATTTGGCCCCAAACCACACGTGGAGGGACAGAAGCGTCGCGGCAGACCTAGAAAAGCTCAACCAGAGCCAGTTGCCAGCAAACCCAAGTGAGGACCCGGGCGGCCAAGAAGGGATGACACCAGCCAGGGGACTGTCGATGATCATGAGGATTCAGACGCCACTACGCCACAGCGGCATCTCCAAGAGACGACAGGATGGTCATTGGGACAGAAACGCAAGACCATGACGGAGCCAGGTCCTGGCAATCAGCTTGCTAGTAAGTGGGTGCTTGTCGATGACTTATCATGTGCTAATCCGTCTTATTCTACAGGGCATTTAAGCTCCAAGCCCCCATCATGGGTGTTGAGTCATGCGCCCCAGCCCCATCGAGGAGGCACTGAAAAATGCTGCCGGAGCGACCGCGGAAGACGGCGAAGTGAAAACCGAGGCAGAAGAAGACCTGATTGAGTCTATTGTAAAGGTCAAAAACGACATAGAAGGTTGGCAGGAGCTATGGGTCATGATGCTGCACATCTTCCAATCGACGCCATACGACCTCTTCACCTGGGGCCTGAGAGAGTCAGACGAAGGAGAGAAACAGGTGCTCTACAAATGCTTGTGCCATCTTCTGCCTCACCCTCTGTGGGAGGGCGAGTGACCAAGACTTCGATATGCCCTGCAAATTGCCATTTCCTTCCGTGTGTCAGGTCACTTGGGGACACTTAGACCCTTGCCCATTGAAACCATCAGGACAATTGCATCAACACCACTGCTACCCAACAACAGAGGAGCCATGGCAATGTTAATATAGGATTCATTGAAGATGGAGACCCAGAGCCTGGGCGGCGACTTTCTGATTCAACTCAGGGCAGAGGGGGCGCGGGCAAATTACAATCCATGGGAGCCAGGCGACGATAAAATCTTGTTCCAACTTGGCGTCAGCGACATTGAAGCAGTTCGAGACGCTCTAGGCATCACGGCCCTCTGCGGCAGTCACGGTGGATTAACAATTCGGTCCCACTACGAGGCATACAGTGAGATAATGCGACGCAGCCATGTCACGTTGGCACCAAGCGATAAAGAGACGCTTGCGCGTTGGGATAGATGGAGCCTAACAGCGCGCCATTTCGACGAGACCAGCCAGGAGCCAGACTACCCTAGGAGAGATAGAGACACTTACAAGTCGCTTGCCTACTGGGATAGCGACAAGTGTGACGAGAGATTTAAACAGTGCATACATTCCCAGATGTCAAGTCTCAGAGTCATCACGAGCTAGCCTTCGGCGTCCCATGCCGGAAAGAAGGCCCGTGTCAGCTCGGGGACAGGTGCCATGGATTCCATCATGATTGAAGATGACAGCGAGGAAATCGATGTCATGGAGTCAGATAGTGGTGTTGGGCCAGCTATTGGTATAGAGGCAGTTGGTGGTATAGAGGGAGCTGGTGGTATTGAGGAGACGGGTAGCAGTGAGCCAGCTGATTGTATGAAGGCAGCTGGTAGCATCATTCGGATAGGTGAGACGACGAGACAGGAGAGTCATGGAGTTGGTGGCAAAAGAGATATGTGTTCACCTAAGTGACCGTCTGAGGCGATCGGAAAGAACAGAAAGCATTCAAGGTATATGCGGCAAATAGTGCCTCGCGGCCATTGGAGCCATGTTACCAGAGTCGACAGCATGCCAGACGACTGTGATCCTGAAATAGATAGTGATGTGAAATCCAAGGACATCGAGCCACTAGCTACACTAATCGGATACTTTTGATTTGTCCGCCTTCATCCAAGCGGAGTGATCTGATCGACAGTGAGTGAGGCAGTGTATCATGATTTTACCATTGACAGCGACGAGGATGAGCATGGGAATGTTTGTCTCTTGGGTCCTCGAAACACAGAGACACAAAGAGTGGTTGCATCCTTTATGAATTGGACGCCGAGGAACGGATTGCTCAGTTACGTGTTTCCATGGTAAGCCTTTTTGATAAAGCATGACATCTGGGAGTGATTGCTGGCAAGCATAATTGTGATTTCTTTTTGTTCCGGTTTTTTACTCTCTAGTATACTTGTGCCGTGGCTAGTCGTCGTAATAAGGTGGATATGATTGCAGGTAGCGGCTTGGGGCGAAGGACCCCTGCCCGGCATCTTATTTTATAGTGTAGCAGTATTTCGTATGCAAAAGGCCCAGCCCTGGAATATGGAGCCTGCGGAGCAGTATTGGGCAGGTGCTAACCTTAGGGTAGTATGGGTAGTATGCCCCCCGACATCCCACATTCCGTGATTGCTTCTCGAAATATTTGGTGCAAGTCTTATATCATTAATAAGGAAAATGCTATGTTTTTGGTCTCATCTCAAATTTGAGACAGCATTTTACATGCAATGCACGATAAGAATGTCACATTGGACCGAAAGACAGTGCTGCCATGGCTCCCAGGGCGGCCACCTAACTTGTGTCGCTATCGGTGCTGTTTGTCCTCGGGTGGTGGGGGGTAAATTGGCGCCGTGTTCCCGCAATGGCCGCTAATCGGCAGGGCGCGAGGGCTCCAGCCAGCGCCTAATCGCAACGTGCCCTTTCCGCCGTCCAGCCTCCAAGCCCTATCTTTAATACAGACTTTGCCGTTGACCGTAAATCCACAGGCCACGTAATATAATGGATATAGGGATCGCGGCGACGGCGATCCCTCCAGATACGACAAGAGGATAAAAAGATTGTCGCTTGCCCATTGTAGTTGAAAACAGGAGTGTATAGGTTGAGCGACGACACCTGGCAGCTTTGGGACAATCATGGGTTTTGCACGCAAAGGATATACATTCCTGGGCCTACTTGCTTCAGCATGTCTTGCCACTGCTTCTAATTCATTTGGCAATGGAACTTGCACGCAAGTCAACCAACGCAAAGCATGGTAAGCATACTCAAACGGGTTCATACGATACCAGTCGCTAACAGATCAGGCATACCTTGACCGATGATGAAAAAGCCGAGTATCTGCGTGCCGAGAAATGCTTGATCGAGTCGCCGGCCAAGGGCGGTGTTGTTGATGGCGCTGTTACGCGATGGGATGAACTGCATTGGGTACACATTACACAGTCCAACGTCATTCATGGTGTCGGAGACTTTCTCCCGTGGCACCGGTTGTACATGCGCGTACACGAGAAGCTCCTCCAAGAAGAGTGCAACTACACTGGCACGCAGCCTTACTGGGACGAACAACGCGATGCAGATGCCAGCACGTCTCTCGCAGATGCCTCCGTCTTTGGCACCGACGAGTTGAGCTTTGGCACCACACAGGATGGCTGCGTCGTTGACGGTGCTTTTGCCAATACGACCCTCCGTCTCAATCAGCTCTGGGGTGTCAAGAATGTCACGGAATACTGCCTCAGTCGCTCCTATGACGATTCGTACTGGGCATGGGCCAACACTACATACTCTGACGCCTGCTTTGCCAAGTCAAACTATACTGAAGCTTGGCCGTGTTGGTCAAAGTATCCTCACAGCTCCGCTCATCTGGCCGTTGGTGGAACGGTATGTCCCAAATGTCCAGCACTCACCTACTCAAAAGCATACTGATATGATGATAGCTCGAGGACCAAGCCGCGTCTCCCGGCGATCCGCTCTTTTTCCTTCACCACACCAACCTCGATCGTCTTTGGTGGAGATGGCAGCAGGACAACCTACCCAGCCGTCTGTATGAAATGGGTGGACGAAGTATTCCCAAGCTTTCCAGCCTTGTCAGCTATGGTTGGCTCTTCCCCAGCGACGCCATCATGGACTATGACGGAGATGCATACAACACGACGACCTTGAACCATAATCTGTGGATGGTCAATATCGCTCCCAACGCCACCGTGGGGGACGTCATGGATCTCGGTGGGGACTTGATCTGTGCTGAATATGTGAACTAGAAGCTACGATCCTCAGATAGCCAATTGAATAGAGTCGTCGTATTGACCGGAACCGCTAATCTTCACTTTTCGCTGTGTGGTTATTGACCGACTATTGAGTCTTGCGTGAGCGCTTGTGCCCTCGTTGACTCATCATTCTACTCATCACATTACTTGAATTGCAGTAAATCAGATGGCTTACATTGGCGACAATGGGAAGCTTTGGCTGAATAAAGATGGCTTGGACTAAATATCCAAGTCTCAAATCGAAAATTGACTTCAATTGAAATATATACTCTACTCAACACTAAATCTATGAAGCATTTGGGTTGGAGGGAGGCAGACCCTTGTCGCTTCCGTTATGCGCCACGCCGCCACCCTCGTAGTAGGATGCAGCCGCGGTCAGGTTGGCCGTATGGTCGCTGCTCAGGTCGACGGCAACCGTGATCCAAGCGAGCAGCCCATCTGAAAGATCGCTACCAAGCTGCACGTACTCGACGTAGGGGTCATAGTCAGAAGTGGCCTCTTCCAGCATCCAACCGTCCAGCTCCCAGCTGGTGAACTCGATCGTGTTGGTGTTGTACGGGTAGGTGGCCTCTACCGCATCAACCAGAGCGTCTTCAAAGTAGATTTGTCCGACGTGCAGGGTGGTGCCGCCCGTGTACGTGTCGTTGGGCTGCACAGTGTAGTTGTGCTGGGCGACGAGGTGGAAATGGGTAATGCGATCATCGTAGTGACCAGGGAAGAGCGTGTCAAAGGCCGAGACACCATCCTCGTCGCTGAACTGGACGCCGCGCAAAAAGGTCGAGTTCAAACCGCCCTCGCCGTCCGAGTCGACGCCAGAGTAGACGCCCGTGCTGTTGCAGTGCCAAACGTCGGCCGCGATATCTGCAACCGGTCCGCATGTGTTCATGTCCACGAATTGAATGTCAATGTGCATCGGGACGCCAATTTGCCCCTCGGTAATGTCCTGGCGAATGTACTCTCCAGTCACATAGTATGGACCAATGGTTGTCTCAGGTACCAATGCGCAAGTATTGTTGGAACCAAAAATCGTCTCTTCCGGAGTATCGAGCGTATACTCGAGGCTCGAAGTCTTGTTGTGGCTGAGATTGGAGTATATCTCGAGATTGGTGAGATCTCTCTTTTGGTGGTTCATCTTCTCTGCATCTGGGTCAGCTTCTTGTTCACGATCATTGCACCCACGGAAGTCTTACCAGAGACTAGTCCACGCTTGACTCGGAGATCGCGGGCCTTGGCCAAACGTCGAGCTGCCGCACGGGACCGCAAAGCCTTGGCCTGAGGCGAATCTTGACACGAAGCCAACGATCGGGTGGCTTTGGCATGCTGAACATTTCGCAGTGCCATTTCTTTCCTGAGAATCTCCTTGTCTTCGCCTGGGTGGGCGAGGACCAATGGCAGCGCCAACGCAGCAGCCAAAGTCTTTATTTGAACCATGTTGGCGATTTCGATTAACGTTTCTGGAAAAGGACGTCTTGTTCAACAGCCTAAAAGTATAAAATATCAAGGATTGATGGATGCGCTCAAGAACTAGGAGACGACTGTTACAATCAACGTTCTCAAGAGCGGTTCTCAGTATAAATACCTACCCAGAACGTTGTTGTCCAATCTACTACCAGGGGGCCTGATTGATCAATCAAGTCGCTGCAGGTACGGAGCTCGTGGGTTTGGCCGGGGCTGTCATGGACCAACCAAATTGTTTTGTTTTCAAAGGAGACGCAAGACTGGGCTACCGTTTTGAAGATCATCGCCGTCCGTTGTGGAGTCCGCTTGCGTCTTCCTTGTCGGCCGCGTAATGCCAAGAGAAGGGCCGTGAAACGCGACCGGTAACTCGGCCGGGCCCCGGCCGCCTTGTCTAAGGGGAACGCTTGCTATTGACTGGGTACATACCCAACCCTTGATCACATCTATGCATAATATCTAGAGTTTTAAAGGGCTTTGAAAAGGCGCCATTTTATCGCCCTACGCTTTTTTCGATATTAACTACTCAAAATAATGCATAAAAACATCTAATAATCTCATTTGCCTCAAATAAACGTAATAGTTAGTAGTGAGCCACTAATAACAGTGGCCTAAAGAGTAATGCTTTATTTTGCAAGTGGCTGCTAATGGGGTTGGATCCCCGCTGTTATCCAAGTAAAAAGCTTACTTATATTCAACAGCCCCCTTTAGCTTCATTGTCTTCCTCGTCAAACAATAAACAGTCATTGAAGAATCCGGCGTAGGTCTGATGTTGACTCTACAGAAGACATAAATATTGGTCATGGAAGGGGAGCGGTTTTGGTGTCTCTGTACAGCCCTTTACGCTCTACATCAGAATCACTCCCACTAGTTTCATTTGTCGGGTTTCTAGAAGCGTGTTAAAGTAAGAGGGCGCGCCCATTCTGGTGCACTTGTGATAAATAGGTGTGAAATCCAAGTACGAGCCAGCCTTCCGGGCTCCAATGACCTAGAGGCCGTTGAGATTAATGGAAGCAAGCGCAATTTGAGTCCAAACGAGCTCGAGTCGCTCCAACACCCGGAATATCTTACAGACGAAGTCGTTTTTCTTGCGCTTCAACTGATGCAGGCTCCCGGGTACAAGGTGATTCCCCCTGCCCTCCTCAGAAGTGGCACTGGACAAATAGACTTTTGGGTCAACGACGACATCACTCTGTCCCAGCATGGGTATCTCCTACCAATGTGCCTCGAGCTTGGATACGACACGAACGGCGATGAGCCAGATGACAAGGAATATGTCGACCACTGGGTCCTTGTTCATTTGAAAAGAACATTACCCACAGCATCGAACGCATTTTCCGCAGTCATTCACGACACAATGGAAGGAGATGTGGTGAAGAATGCCAATCGAGAACGCGTGGCTGAGACCCTGTCCAACTTTTTTCCCAAGGAGGCCACTGTCGAGATCACCTCGACAAAGGTGCTGGCACAAGAGGATGCGTACAATTGTGGTGTGTACGTCATATTGCATGGAATCTCCTTGGTGCAATATTGCCAGCCAAACAACCTGCCTATAAGAAAAGGATAATAACCTTTTCATTTTATTTTCTCCGTTTTTACCTTTTTCTTTTCCTTTTTCTTTTTTTTTTCTTTCTTCTTTTCTTCTTTTTTCTTTTC